CTCCATCAGGAAATGTCCCATTATCGGTAACAATCACATCAGTGGTAGTAACTTCGTAAAGGCTTCACTGTTTCCTTTCAAAACCGGGTAGTTTCTTCTTCGACAGTGGCTTTTCATGTGACACGTCTTCAGCAGCATCATTTGTTCCATTGTTCACTTCATTCCAGCTGAAATGTCCTGGACCGTGATAGCGCCAAAGCCTGTTAGCATGCACCACCTTTGGCTTACCTCGCCGACCACATTTTATTCGGAAAGTGACGTCTGAGAAACGATCCACTATGTCATATGAGCCTTCCCATGGAGAAAACAACTTAGGAGACTCCCCTTTGGTCTTCCTGGGAATATACGACCACACCTTGTCTCCTGGTACAAAGCTGACTTCAGTAGATTTCTTATCATAACACAGCTTCATGGAACCAGCAGACACGTCAACTTGATATAACGTCATTGAAGCACGCCCCTTATGCTTGGGTCCCCTTTCTTCCACATCTTGCCTCATAGCTATCCAGTAAAATCTCTGCCGTAGGTGACACAATGTATTTTTAGCTCCGAGATGTCCTCCTGTTAAACTATCATGGGATTGACGCAGCACAACTTCCCATAACTTTCTCGGTATAACTGTTTGCCAGTCGTCACTTTCCCATCTGCAGTCTCCCATCTCCGGACAAGACTACCATTTTCAAGCTTCAGCTGGTCCCATTGTGCCCAATAGTTCTTTGTCACAGAGCTTAAGCTAAACACCTTCTCCGAAGCAGGGCGCAAAACACTTACTTGTAGAAAATCAATTATTGGCTTCAAATCTTGATCTTTCTCCTGTTCTGCTTTAATATCTAGACTTGGTTCCACTTCACTATCATTAACTCTTTCAATCACTTTGACTTCAGCTTGATGGCATCTGGTTAGTCCAACCTCTCTTTTAACACTTACTGGAATTTGGCCTTTGTTGTTCCCAAACGTCATTTTATCAAAGTTAACTATACACTTCCTTGGTAGCAAGTAGTTCAAGCCTAATATGCATTGGTCTTCAATGTCAGCCAGGTAAACTTTGTGTCTGTCCTTTATACCCATAAGCTCAATAGTTAACCACACTGGTCCCCACAACCTTGCATAATGTCCCGTCACACCACAAAGCTTCTGTATGGCTTCTGGTACTCTTTTGTGATCTAGCACCTTGATACTCACAAGGGTTTGCTGAGATGCAGAATCTATGACAATGTTGCACTTTTGGATATCCAGCTTTCCTATCACGTAGACACTATATGTGCTTGCCATTTTACACCTAGCTGTTGGGACTTTCACGATGGGGTTTGGTGGGTGTCCCTCAACACCAACCACTACTGGTTTCCCCAAGGTTGACTCAGTGGAAGTATTCTTACTACACTGGCTCTTCGTATGTCCTTGCTCTCCACAGTTCCAACAACCTTTCTGGGTAGCAGCCTTTCCTGCCATGGCATCTTCCCTGTGTTGAAGTTGCCAGCATTGAGCTATCTTGTGCCCAGATTTGTTACAGTGCCAACAAAGTCCCTCAAACCTCTCTGAAAGCTGCCCTTTTCTGGCCTTGAATCCTGATGACTGTAACAACCTTGGTACTTCTGCGCTGGACTTAATGTAGGATTCGAATTCAAGAGTTCTGGCCATTGCATCCTGCATATTAGAGGGGTGTGCTTGCTTCACTTGTATCTTCAGTTGTGGATTGTCCAAGGTATCTACAAACTGATCCCTCAGCAATAGCTTGATGACATCGGGCGGTGCAGTTGGGTAGGCCTTGTGTGCCATACTTTCCAAATCCTGTGTCAGCTCTTGTAGGTTCTCCCCTTTAGCACGGACACTTGTCCTAAACCTTGCCCTGTAGACTTCGGACTGATTTTGAGTTCCATACCTGAGTTCTAGAGCAGCTACCAGTGCTCTATAGTTGTGCCTGTCATCTGCTGACAACTGTCCAAGTATTTTCAGTGGTTGTCCCTTCAGGCTCGCTGCCAGGTACACTGCTTTCTGCTCCTCTGTCCATCCATTCATTTCTGCCAGGAGCTCAAATTGTGCTCTATATGCTTCCCATGGTGCCTTCCCATCGAATTCCTGTGGCTTCCTTCGTACTAGATCACCCCTATTGCTGATACTCATATCTGGAATGTGACTTCTGGCAGGACTGAAGATGTCTGCATTAGAGTTTAGCTGCAAGGTCTGGAAGGGGCTTTCTGTTGTCTGGGGCTGATTAGGTGCATGGTTAATATATCCTCCCTGTGTAAAAGACAGTAAATCATCCTTTAATGTATTTAATTCACTTTGAAATGTACTAATCTTTTCCATTTGAGTATGCTGGA